TAAATATGTGACCCCCGACTGCCTTGGAGATGAATACACCTGAAAAATTCTGGTAGGGTAATCCTTCTAATCTCGACAAACATAAAGTCTTTGGTTGTGTAACCTATGCTCACATTAGGCAAAACAAGTTCGAACCTAGAGCTTAGAGATGTATGTTCCTTAGATACCCTGAAGGAGTCAAAGCTTATGGGATATGGTGCCTACAGACAGGTCACAAAAGGTGTAGTATAAGTCGAGATATAGTTTTCAATAAGTTGAAATAACTTCAAGAAAATTAACGATGTTGATCGAAAAGCAAAGATCTTTGCAGAAGAGCTGGAATAGGAAGAGATTCCTGTTAAAGTGGAGCATAGTGATGCTGAATTAATTGCATAACCCAGATGAAGTCGAAGAGGAAACAAAGGTTATTGATGAAGATGAGGAGACTGGTAACGAATACCTACTGACAAGAGACATGTAAGAAAGAGTCATTAAGCCACCTCAGAGACTTGGTTATGTAGATCTCATAGCATTCGACTTAATCTATGCAAGTGAGGTTCTTGATGAAAAACTTATAGACTACACGGAAGTTGTGACGAGTTAAAATATAATTAAATGGACGAAAACCACGAATGATGAGATGAAATCTCTTCACGACAATAACACTTGGGAGATGACCGAGAAACCTGCTGGAGCTAGTTTAGTCAACTTAAGTGGATTTTCAAGGTTAAGGAAGAACTAAAATGAGTGGTGTCGAAGTTATTTAAGGCATGGTTGGTTGCTAGGGGGTTCACTCATAAATAAGGCGTCGACTTCAATGGTGTGTTCTCACTTGTTATCAAGCACAAATCCATTAGAATGTTGTTAACCATAGTGGCAAAGTTTGACCTAGAACTTGAACAGGTGGATGTGAAAACAACCTTCTTGTATGGTGATCTAGATGAAACTATCCCAATGAGGCAACTTGAAGGGTATGTAGAAATAGGAAACAATGGTTATGTGTACAAACTGAATATGTCTTTGTATGGCCTGAAACAATCTTTTTGACAATGGAATATGAGATTCGACAAGTTCATGGCACACATATGTTTCACTAGGAACTAGTTCAACCAGTGTATTTACTTCAGATTTTGACCTGGAAATTCACTTGTTATTTTGTTGCTTTATGTGGATGACATCCTCATAGAAAGCAACAGTGTCGAAGATGTTATAAATGTGAAGGTTGGATTCAATAAGGTGTTTGACATGAACAATATGGGAGCTGCCTCAAGTATTCTTGGGATTGACATTCGAAGAGGTAGAAAGCAGTCAAGATTATGCTTATTCCAAGAGACATACCTATTGAAGATTCTCAACAAGTTTGGTATGTCGAATTCAAAGCCTTCTGTAACACCCACTAATCCTCAATTCAAGACGAGTACGACTCAAAGTCCTAGTAATGAAGTCGAAAGAGTCTATATGAATATAATTCCATATGCTAGTATAATATGTTATTTGATGTATGTTATGGTATGCACGATTCCAGACATATCAGATGCAATGATCCTTATGAGCCGAACATGGTCAACCCTAGAAAGGCATACTGGCAAGCATTGAAATGGATTCTAAGGCACATAAATGGATCTCTGAGTAGAGTCCTGATTCATGGTGGAGCCTATGGTGATGATAGAAAATTCGAATCGAAGGATTTGTCAACTCTGATTATGCAGGTTGTATGGATTCTAGAAAATCTATTTTTGGATATGAGTTCACTATGTTTAGCATAACAATCAGTTGGAAAACAACACTTCAGAAGGTTGTTGCCTTACCAACCACTGAAGCAGAGTATATTTCCCTCACTAAAGCTATGAAAAAAGCATTGTGGCTTGAAGGTTTTGCTAAGGAGCTGAAACTTCAAGGTGAAGCCATCACTGTTAAATGTGATAGTCAAAGTACAATACACCTGTCGAAGAATTTAGCCTATCATAAGCAAACTAAGCACATCAATGCAAGGATGTATTTTGTCAGACATATAATTAAATGTGAAGAAGTCCAAGTGTTGAAGGTTTTGAATAATGACAATGTTGCTAATATGATCACCAAGACATTGCCAAGTTGCATATTTTTCCACTACATGCAACTAATAGGACTACATGATGACAGCCAATTAGTTTCGTGGTTTAGAGTTTGTTCCAAGATGGAGATTTGTAGTTTATGGGTTATAAGCCAGTGTTGTAGCAAACTCTGTCGAATTCGAAGATGTGCATGTCGTAGTCGAAGTTTGTTCTTGCATGTAGATGTCTTAGTTAGCTTTTTGAATTATGTTAGTTTGTTGTTTAAGTTAGCATGTTGAATTGGGTATGATTGTTGGGCCAATTGTTTATTATGTTAGTTTAAAGCTAGAGTTTAGTTTTCTTATAAATATCATACTAGTTCTCACATCTTCATCAATCTTTGATAATCTTAATCAGAGGGAGAAAATGTTGTGGTTGAGATTTAATTGTAAACATTGTTTTCTAATGTGTAATTGAATAAAGAATCCAGTTTTAAACCACTTTGAATTGTCTTTCTCTTCTCTTCCATCTTTTTCTTTACATTGTGGTTTTCTTGTTAATCAAGAAACCGATCGTACTATATTTTCTGAGCATCGCTTTCACAACAAAGTTTTTTATATTTTCAAAACTAACTCCACACACCTCTTGGTTTAGGGCTAAAACCGAGGGAAAGATAAATTATTTTTTATTTAAAAATATTAATTACATTGTTTAAACAGAATATTAATAAATTAATTTGTTTACGAACAATGTTTACAAGGAATATTACATCGTTTACACAAAATATTAAGTAAAAATATGGAAGAACAAATCCTGGATATCTTGGAGAAGAACAAATGTTGGGGAGCCTCGTTTATTTGATCTTGGGGAAGATCAAATGTTGAACCCAAGTAATTTTAAATTTGAAATTAAAAAGGTTAGATAAATAAAATAAATATTCAGTTATATGATTATTTAAGAATACAAACCTTAAACCCAAATAATTTTTTGCTCTTGCAATCAATTATATAGAACTTTTTTCAAATAAAATAAAAGCTTCATTAAGTTTCAAAGTTTTCACGTCAAAAGTTTCATTATCAATTTTTAATATTCATAATAGTTTTAATGTGTATTTTATGTTTCACACGGATCACTAATAGCAATGTCTTAAGCATTGATACTCATTAAATGGACGATATAGATTTGGTTAAGACAGGGAAGAAACTCAATAAATACACTTATATTTTCTCTCAGTTATTTATCAAACCAAGTTATAATGTGTTTCTTTTTAAAATAAAAAATACAATAAAATATGTTTCATCCCAAGTGTCATATACCTCTCGGTTTCTTTAAAAAACCGAAGGGTATAAGTTTTTTATTTATTTTAAAATTATATTTCTTACAAAGAATATTAAAATACACTGTTTAAACAAATTCATATTTTGACAATGGATTCTTGGAGAACAACAAATCATTTTAAGTTCAATGGATTGCATACATCCAATTTCTAATAAGCTATTTATATCAAGCATTGAAAATTTTTGTTTTGCACTTGCAATCTATCCCTAAGATCTGGTCAAAGATTTATTATTTTTAAGCAAATATTTTCATGGCAACTTACAATATTTATAAGAATAAATTTCTCAATGTTGTTGGCCGAGAAAAACAATACATTATGAAGTGTTTTCTTTGGTTGACAAAATAGGAAGGTTATTCTAAAAATACAACAACAATATCAACACCATTATGTTGGGATGGATTACAAGAGTACAAAAAATGTTTAATTCAAGATAGAAGAACATTGAAGATTTTTTCTGTCTTGCAATTCATCCCAATATATGATGCTTATAAATTTGAAGTGAAATTAGGTTTATGATCAAATCTAAATAACAAGTGATTTTATAGTAAAATTATGATTATCTAATCTCTCACTTATTAAATATAATCGAAGGAATAAATCATTAATTTAGAAATAAAAAGTAAAATAAAAAGAAAGACACAACTATTAAAGAATTAAAAACATAAATTATTGTTGTTGTGATTCAAAACATGTCCTGAATTATTGTTCTCTAAATTATATTTAGAAGATGAAACATATTGTATTTATTTAAAAATAAATAAAACATGACACACTTGACATTACACATCAATTTTTTATTAAATAAAATAAAAGTTTTATCATAAAATATATTATTTTTATAAAGCTGAATTTTTCTAATATAAACAGAATTATAACCACTTCTCAAATCATTCTAAAATTCACTCTCTTTTATGCTGTTTGAATTTTCAAAATCATTTCTTCCCTTTTTACTTGATGAGCTTTCCAAAATATGTTCTATTTTCTTTGAAAATATTTATTTTAAGAAAAGAGTTTCATTCAAAGAAATTGCTATGGAAATTAGTCGGTTTTTTTGAAAAATTTCTATTAATCTGAGAAATTATTACGTTTGATTCTTATACCATATTTAATGGTGTATTTTAGAACAATACTTAATAGTATAATATAATATCATACACCGTAACCGAACTGTTTTACTTTACAAATTTTGTAATTAATAATGTGCTTGTAAAATTTTGGACAATATAAAAAAAATATTTAAAAAAAACGACCAAATAGGTGTCTCAATAATCTCTTTAGTACTGTAATTTCAACTACCTAGCAAAACCAACCATGATATAATTCTTCAATATAATCAAGCCTTTATGCAGAGAACTAATAATTCAATTCAAATTTACTTCTTATCGCTCAGTGAAGTTACAAGGACATGAATGTATTGGGCATAAGACTTTAAAATTGTTAAAAAAAATGCAATTAAATAGAAATCATAAGCTAGAATGAAAGCAAACATCACAACCACCAACTTATTAGATTTTATATTTGTTCATAACACAACAGCCAAATTAACCAGGGGACATGGATAATTAGACAGCATGTAGTGAACCTTCTTTATCTTTACTTATCCAGATTAGTATTAGTAGCAAATTCAGTGCAGACAATAAACTTGATAACTAGAAAGGGCCACGTGGTGGTGGACCACCGAAGCAATCTCGCAGCAACCAGCAACAGCATAAGCAGTAGAAGCTGCATCGATGAATTCAAATTTAATAACAAAGTTAAATCAATGATAACTCAAAATCAAAATAGCTTATGTTTATATTATTATAATTATAGCTCACCATGAAGATATGAGGCTGCATAAACCGTTAGCACATCCACCAAAAAAGCCTCCAGGTCCTGGTGGACCCCAACCGGGTCCTCCCGGCCCAGGCCCCCAACCAGGTCCACCTCCAGGCCCACCGGGTCCACCGCCAGGCCCCCAACCAGGTCCACCTCCAGGGCCACCGGGTCCACCGCCAGGTCCGCCAGGTCCCATGGTTGATTGACAAGGGAAGTGCAGAATGAATGAAGAGGCTGTGATATATATATAGAGGCTGTGATATTCAACAACTATTCTTGTTGACTGAAAGAGATTCAGAGATTGAATGAAATTGCATGTTTTACCAAATACTATATGGTTATCTACCATTCAAACCTGCGAATCAAAGAAACCTACCAGTTACTATATGATATTTCCCTTTCAAATGGCTTCTATCTGTAACGACTTCAGTACAAGGCAAATCATTTCCACTGTCAATCAAATCATTCCGTTGACCATTTGTTGAAACAAAAGAGGAGTTTCCAATAAATAAGGATCACGATGAACCTACTTTTATTATAGTGCATTTTTTATAAATTAAAAAAAAAAGAGAGTGAAATAGTATTAATTGATAAGGTCCAATTCTCAATAGACATCACAACGCAACGAGGGTATCTATCTAACTCGTCTCAAATTTGATTAATATTCAACTTTTTTTTTTTCTATTAGAGCCTGTTTTTTTATTTCTTTCTATTCTTTATTAGAGGTTTTTATTTTTAAAATGAGAATATGGTCACTAAAATGTTTGGACCGACCCTAAGTGAATTTCGTTTTTTTACACTATTAGTGACTTTCTTCATTAGAGAAGTAAAACTCTTTCTTTTAAGTATTATAGATTTCTTATTGGAGCTATTTATAGAAAAGAAGTCACTTGGGAAGATGCTCAATTTTCAGAAGCACATGTTTGTTAGTTTGGATAGTCGAGGTTTTACTTTATTATGTGATTAATGTATCCTTATGTTTTTCTTGTCTTATTTGAAAATGACTATAAAGGCGTGGAGAAAATTTGTTCAGATTCAACGAAGGTTCTTGTGGGGAGATGTCAAGGGAGCTTCTAAAATCTCTTGGGTTAGTTGAGCTAATGTGTGTAAACCTAAGAGTAAATGTGATTTATGGGTTAGAGATCCCCGTCTAGTAAACTTATCTATTTTGACTAAGTGGAGATGACGTCTTATTTCGAGCGTCTCTAGTGTTTGGAGGCATGTCCTTGTTGCTCGTTACATTGACTTTGTTGTGTCTTCTTTAAGGGGTGGTAGAGATGCTGGTTTCTATAACATCTCCTCTTGGTGGAAAAGAGTTTCTCTTCTTGGCTAAATACAAGAAGATCCTTTGGACTGATTCGTAGATAGTACCATTAGGAAAGTTGGATCAAGATTATAAACATCTTTTTAGACTGACCCTTGGATAGGGAGCATAACTCTTAAGGATAGGTTTTCTGGATTATTTACGATCACATACTATCTTGAGGGGAGTGTTAGTCAGATTGGAAGGTGGGTTGGTGACACCTTAGTTTTGGACTTCAGGTGAAGGAGATATTTCTTTATGAATGAGGAAACTACGATCGTTAATTTTCTCTCGGTTATTCGAGGACATCTTTTCTCCTTGGACATAGGTAAAAGGGTTTAGAATTTTTTGAAGGATGATGTTTTCTCGATGTCTTCTGCTTATCACTTTCTTTTAACTTCTTCTAGCCACCCATCCTTTGATTGCATTCAGGTTAATCTTCACATTTGGGGTAGTTGAGTACCATCTAAGGTGATTGTCTTCTCCCAAAAGCTTTTCCTTGATAGGTTCCCCTCCATAGAGAACTTATTGAAGAGAAAGGTGATTGTCAATCACGATCTTACTTTGTTCCTTTTGTGGTATTTTCGTAGAGACGGTGGCTTAATATAAGATTTTTTGTTGTTTGGGTTGATAGATAGTTCTTCCTAGGGACCTGAGTTGTCTTTTTTGAAAGTAGACCGAAGTCAAGAGATGCATTTTCTATGATCTGACATGCAGTGGTTTGGTCTATTTATAGGGTTAAGAATGAGGTTATGCTTTGTGGGTCTTCAATAAATGTGAAATATGTGAAGAAAAAAAGTATATTTTTTTGCTTGGAAATGATTTTAAGGGAGATCATTTGAGAACTCTTGCACCTTCAAGAATGTTTTTAGAATCCTATCCTTCAGTAACTAATAGAAAATTGAGATTAATGGCCATGTTGTGAGTGTGGATGTTTCTTTCTTTTTCATGACAATCATTAATCTAATGTTAGTAGTCCCACTGGATTGAGATTTGCCTTGTTCTTCATTGTGGTGTACTTTTTGAGGGTGGGTTTCTTTGAAGTTTGACTCGTGGTGCTTTTTAGTGCTTTTGTGTTTGTATTTATTTGTCTTCTTTTGTTTATTTTATTGTAGATTCTTAGATGTAGCTTTTGATACTTCTTGTGCCATTTTTATGCATTTGTACTATATTGAGTTCATCTCTCTTTTCTCATTTTTATTATATTTAATTATTATTTTCCTTTCAAAAAAAATTCAAAGTAAATGTTCCAATTGTTTATTTTATCAAATACCTTCATTATATGTCCTCCAATTTATTTTTATTTCTATCATATAGTTAAAATGATTTTTTTCCAATGGTATTATGCATAAAACAATATGGTAGGATTATATGCCCTTGGATGAGAAGAATTTGAAGTATGACAACATCAGGCAGAGCAATAGTAGGATGAGGTCTTGTATTATTCTGGAGGTTTATGATATGTCTCTTCTCACGCAGTATGAACATTACATTGTTTATATGTTGTGGCACGAATAAGTAAATAATAAAATTTAATTGATTTAATTTTTTTTTGCATGAGCGCAGTTTGAAGGAGTTGAAGATATCATCTCACTAGGAAAATTTGGTTGGATGGGTTTCAACATATCTTCCTCATGAGATAACTGCTTCACTGAAAGGTTCTAGATTAATCACATTTCAAAATACCATTATGAAGATGATTGATGCCAATCTTGTATCTGCATTTGTGGATAGGTGACATTTTAAGAAATCATCACTTGGTGAAATGTCAAAAACTCTATATTGTGTTGTGTTCCTACATCATCTTCGTTTAAAGGTGATTTTTAATCATCCTCTAAGTATAAATGAAGAAGGATTCATTGCAAATACAAATGAGCTATTAGGGGTGACTAGAGAGAAAGTATGGATAAAGACCAATAAGTGTAGGGGTACTATTACAACCAAGAGTGATTGTGTGATTTTTTATTGTCATCACCATATTGACGTGTTTGATTGTCTTGCTAGGGAAACATGATGCTAGTGGTAAAGTGTAATTCTTTTGTATACAAGCATTTCATTTTTTATAGGCATATATTTATCGTTGCTTAAGAACTTATCAAATTATAATAGATATTGTTGGAGCACATCGTCTTCGTGTGAAGAAGACATCTTCTATCTAGTTTGATTTTGATGAGGTCAAAAATTATCAAAGATGAAAAATGTCATGTGCATAAATGATGAATAATATGGTGGAGGATTATAAATCAAGAGAAAATTTGAGAAAATTGATCATATCTAAGGTCCTGCGATTCATGTTATACTACTTTAAAATATGCAAAATTTCATCTCACACTTCATATAAAACTTTCTTACATCATTGTGCATAAAAATGTATTAAAAACCCAATATTAGTGCTGGAAGGACATATGTATTTGAATACAAGTGCTGAAAATCAAGCTATATTTAAATACAACCTTGTGGTATTCGAATACAAGTGACAATTTTTCAAAAAATTGGAATGTTGCAGTCTGGTATTCAAATACAGGATTATGGTATTTGAATATAAACTAAACCAATGTGTTTTTTTTCATGAAACGTAATAACAGTTTTGATTGACAATGCTTCATGGAACCTTTTCTAACATATGCATATTAGACGAAGATGGATTATCTAGAGGGAGGTGAATAGATCCCAAGTAAAACATTTGCTTTACAAAAATTGTTTTAAAAAACAATGGATAACGGAAGTGACTTGAATCAATTCGTTTAAACCAACCGCTATCAAAAATCTCGGATATGCATATGTGAGAACCAATCAATGATAATGATAAGCAATTCAATAAATATGATTTAATCACAATCTCTTGAAAACTACTCAACAAGTAAAGTTATTTCCATTGATAAATCACACAAAAATACTATTGAGACAAATTATCAAACACCTTGTGTGCAATCGAGTTTGTTTAGAAATTTGTATAGTTTTGTTGACTTCAACCTCAATCTAAAGGATTGTGATCAACTCAACAAAACGTTTTTCAAATGGTTTTCAAAAGAATTAACCAAACGTATTGATCACACAATTGATGAACTCAACAATTTGCAAATGAAATGTAAAAGATATATATGTGTTCAACCTCTATCTAAAGGATTGTGATCAACTAAAAAAAACATTTTTCGAATGTTTTTCAAAAGAAGACCCTTTGTATGTTTCAGGTTTCGTTTATGATTTTCACAAAATCATTCAAAAGAAATGATGCATGTATGAAGAATATATGTGTGCAAGTTAGAAGCAATAAGGAATGCAATAGGTTTAGAAAACAATGCAAATTTTCAAGATTTTTTATGCATGTGTCGACCTATGTAAGTCATAGATCGACCTATTTGATGCATGTGTCGACCTATGTAAGTCATAGATCGACCTATTTGATTCAAAAGAAGGTCATGTGTCAACCTATGCAGTTAGCACATTAAACATAGACTACAGGCTTTAAAAATGAGGTACATGTTCCGACCTGAAAATGTAATGTGTCGACTCATAAAGGCAGCACATCAAACAGAAGCTGTAGGCTTTAAAAATGGACCACATGTGTCGACACATAGAGCTATTTTTTCACAAAAAAAAATTCTTTTAATGCATGTCATCTTTTCTAAAACATTTTCAAGTGCATAAACCTTTTTATGCTTCCAAATGTTAAGATGAACGTTAAGACTCAGAGGATACCGACCAATATACATAAACGCTAAAGTATTTTAGTTTTGAAATCATACAAAATACATCTAATGAAAAGTTACACTCACAATACATTCATTTAAACAGATTTCTAAAGATGTATATAAGACATCATACACCAGAAAATGAAAATACCTCTTTCAAAATGATTTTTATACAATCCAAACACAACTTTCTAAGTGTTC